TGCGCGCCAGGGGGGCTTAGGGGTCGCGGGGTGGGGGGTGTCGGCGGGCGGCCGGGCGGCCAGTCGGGGGGGGGGGGGGGGGGGGAAGTTCGGGGAGGGAGCAGTCGACTCTCGTGCGTCGCGCGCCTGTTTGCCAACCCACTGGTGGCAGTAGAGCAAATCCGTCCCCCCAACGGTGTTGGGCACCGCCTCGGTGTAGGTCTGGTCGTCAGTGCACCGCCGCGGCGGAGGCGGCGGCGCCGGCGGCGCCGGTGGACGCTGCTGCATCTTCTTGTAGAGAACGCCCGATTTCGCCGTCGCCGTCGCCGTCGCCGTCGCTGCCGCCGCCGCCGGCGTCGGAGCGGCTGCGTTCGGCTCCCACAGCCCCGCCGGCGGCGTCGGAGCGGCCGCGTTCGGGTCCCACAGCCAAGTGTGGCAGTCAGCTGGGGCGCCGTCAGAGCTGCACGGCTGCTTGCGGTGGCAGTGCACGCCGGGCACATTCAGGGTGCCCGTCACGGTATCTTTGAACAGCCTGCAATTCCCCGCCGAATCGCGCTGCTTTCCCTCAGGGGTGGTGGTCCCGCAAAACTCGTAGGCAGTGCACTTATCTTCATCGGAGCACCTCCCTCGGCACTTGGCCTCGGACTCGCCCCACTCGTCGTAGAAGGGGCTGCTGCCCTCGGGCTCGGTCGCGCACGCGCCGTCCACATCGACCTCGAGCCTCGAGGACGATGAGCCAGTCACCCGCGCGGAGGAGGCGGACAGAACGAGGGCCAACATGTGGAATCTGACCGCCGTTCACGAAATGTGGGAAAAAGTATTAGGTCGAACCGTGCAGGCTCAACTCTGCAAGCCCAGATGTCTGCAATGGCGTGGCCTGCCGGCCGAGCGCCTGTGTCGGCTCGTCCGGAAACGGCAAAAACACCGTGTCGGGACTGCCGAGCTGCCGTGGAGAATCGTGTTGGGACGACTCGCCGTGCGACACCCGGCTGGTCCGCCCGCCCGTGGAGAGGCCGAGGATCTGCCCAAGTTTGTTGGCCGCTACTAGCACGCTTGCGACGGCCGAGGACACCTCAGGGTCGTCATGGTAGGGCAAGATTGAGGCAACGCGCGATAGGACGGCCTGTGCCTCGATCACGCTGAGCTCCGCCATCGCCGCCGCGGCCCGGTCGGCCAAATGCGAGCACAACACCTCGAGACGCCCCGTCTCCCAGGTGTACCCGAGGCGTCGGCGTTCCTGCGCTCGAGCAGAGACCGACGGCGTCTGCGTCTGTCTACTCGCTTAGTGTGGGTAGAAAAAAGTATTATCCTAACGGTGTGGGGGCGCGGAGGGCTTGTTGGCGAGCCAAAATGGTGATGTCCGAGGCGCTGCGCTAGGCACAGAGCGAGTTCGCGCTGCGCTAGGCTCAGACGGCGAGTTAGTTCGCGCTGCGCTAGAGGCTCAC